TATATATATCTTGCTTTTAAATGTTTTTTTTATATTTTGTGGTGTTTTGCTCCACAAATCATTTTGATAACGAGGTGTTTCAGTTGTGGTTCGGAGAGAAATTCAGATCGTACCGTTCGTTGTTGGAAGTGAATTCAGTTACAGTCGTTTCTGAAAGCTGCGGTTTTCAACTCCCGCTTTCGGCACCGAAACATCTGTGGCCAAAAACGCGACACTCGCTCTTTTTAAAAGTTCGACAACATGGCTTCAGTTTCAGGTCACAAACGAGCGGAAAGAGCGGCGTCTCTAATCTGTGTTCCTCCCTGTTTCTTCTTGTTCTCCTCTCTGCAGGTAACCCGTGGTAAATGGCCGTTCAGGCGGGAACCGAAGGTCCTTACTGCGGCTCCATGTCTGCCATTCAGCTCATCTTTATCTGCTCTGCAGCTTGAAGACCTCAGCGCTGCTTTGACACAAATCTGATTTGTTTTAAACTTATGGAACACACGTGGGGACCATGTAAATGTCTCTCCAACTGGATGTCCCGCTCTGGACAGCATGGACGGTCTGTTTGAGTCTCTCACCTTGTCCCCTTCTTCCTGACTCTCCTGCTGAAGGAGGGTGGGGGGTCGGTGTGTCCCCTGCCCCTCCGTGCAGACAAGGCTAGTCTTCCAAAGCGGTTACATTTTTTTGTTTTTACTTTGACATCTTACCGACATCCCCTCATCCCTTCTTCATGAAATCCTGCCAGAGCCTCAAGGAGGAGGTTTCCATCCCGAGCCTCGGCGGGATGTCACAGGAGGAGGGGCACACGGCTCAGGTGTCCCCGTCCTTCTTCAGCTCCAATAGTCCGGACCTGGACCTGACGGGAAAGGCTTTTAAGAAGGAGGCCGGCGGCAAGCCTTTCTCCGTGTTGGTGGACAACAAGATGTCCGCCAAGACCCCCGCCGGGGACCAGCTACCGGCTCAGCACGCCGCTTCACAGCAGCAGTACTTCAGAGAAGGAGGAGCTGAGCACGAGGAGGGGACGCAGGGGTCCCAAGCGGCCGGCGAGGAGTCCGACGAGGAAACGGAGGATGATGAAGACGAGGAGGAGGGCGAGGACTGCGAGGAGGGCTACAAGCGAGAGCAGATCATCGTGGAGGTGAATCTGAACAACCAGACGCTCTACGTGTCCAAGGGGGACAAGACGACCGCAGCGGCTGCAGACGACTCGGACAGAGGGGGCAGTGATGAGGAGGAGGAGGACGAAGAGGAAGAGGAGGACGAGGAGGAGGATAGCCATGATGAGGAAGATGAAGAAGAGGAGGATTACGAGGAGGAGGCTGAGAGTCACAGAACGAGGTCAAGAAGGATCCGGCGAAGTGTCAGCAGCACTTCAGCAGCCAGCCAGCCCCAGAGGAAAAGCCTCCGGACCGCTCTGAGCGCCGCCGCCGCCGCCGCCGCCGGGATGACCACCAGGGGGCGGCGCAAGTGTGCAGAGCCCCCAAAGAGCAAGCGTCGGTCGACCCGGTCGACCCCCTCCTCGGCCGGCGCGACGGGAGGGAAGGCGGAGCTGGAGGAGAAGGAGATGCTGGCGTGCGAGAAGTGTCCGAGGGTCTTCAACACGCGCTGGTACCTGGAGAAGCACATGAACATCACGCACAGGCGCATGCAGATCTGCGACAAGTGTGGCAAGAAGTTCATCCTGGAGAGCGAGCTGGCCCTGCACCAGCAGACCGAGTGTGAGAAGAACATCCAGGTAAGACAAACCTCCACCTGTCTGGCTCTGTTTTTATTCAGAATATTTTAAAACAAACAAAACTAGATAAACTCAAACTCAGCATTTTAGTGAACGCATTTATTTGCTTCAGTGGATTAATGTTTTTAATGTTGCCACAGACCATTTGGTAAAATACAGAACTTTTTTTTAATTGAAAAAGATCTTTATATAAAGTACAAATACAAAGAGAGAACAAGGGACAAAACACAGAAAAAGTAAAGTTTACCAGTGGGATACACTGTAAATAAATTTAGTACAAAAAACTTTAATGATAAATAAATTCAATCATCTACCTCAGTGGTTCCCAAACTTTTTAGACTTGTGTACCTCTGAGCCATTTTATCACTCCACTAGTACGCCTTCAGTCAAATATAATGATGATTCTCCAAAACTATAATGTATAACAGCTGATTATTAAATGAAAATTGTTTATTTAACCCCCTAGAAAGTTTAATTCTCAGGCCTTTTATTCTTTTTAACTCAAATTAAGCAAAGATAAAAACGTTGCCTTGAAAGTGAATAAATTAACAAACCAGGTAATGGGAGGTGAAAGAAGCAGCAGCGTCCAAAATACATCAAATACCCCAAATGAGCAAATTCCGTGACATTCTACGTTTTTAWACAGGATTTAATTTTGTGTTAATTCTCTGATTCTCTTTGCATTTTCTGCATTGTGGAAATCATAGGGCCTTACATATCTCAGTCCTATTTTTATTTATTTTTTCACACACCTGGGAAATTTTTCCACGTACCCCTGTTGGGAATCACTGATCTACAGCATTCTTATGTGTACAGCTTTTATATTTCTACTCTTATAATAATCTGTCTCTGTCTTAAATATCTTAAATAGTGGATGAATACACTCACCGGCCACTTTATTAGGTACACCACGCTAGTAATGGGTTGGACCCCCTTTTGCCTTCAGAACTGCCTCAATTCTTCGTGGCATAGATTCAACAAGGTGCTGGAAGCATTCCTCAGAGATTTTGGTCCATATTGACATGATGGCATCACACAGTTGCCGCAGATTTGTCGGCTGCACATCCATGATGCGAATCTCCCGTTCCACCACATCCCAAAGATGCTCTATTGGATTGAGATCTGGTGACTGTGGAGGCCATTTGAGTACAGTGAACTCATTGTCATGTTCAAGAAACCAGTCTGAGATGATTCCAGCTTTATGACATGGRGCATTATCCTGCTGGAAGTAGCCATCAGATGTTGGGTACATTGTGGTCATAAAGGGATGGACATGGTCAGCAACAATACTCAGGTAGGCTGTGGCGTTGCAACGATGCTCAATTGGTACCAAGGGGCCCAAAGAGTGCCAAGAAAAGATTCCCCCCACCATGACACCACCACCACCAGCCTGAACCGTTGCTACAAGGCAGGATGGATCCATGCTTTCATGTTGTTGACGCCAAATTCTGACCCTACCATCCGAATGTCGCAGCAGAAATCGAGACTCATCAGACCAGGCAACGTTTTTCCAATCTTCTCTTGTCCAATTTCGATGAGCTTGTGCAAATTGTAGCCTCAGTTTCCTGTTCTTAGCTGAAAGGAGTGGCACCCGGTGTGGTCTTCTGCTGCTGAAGCCCATCTGCCTCAAAGTTCGACGTACTGTGCGTTCAGAGATGCTCTTCTGCCTACCTTGGTTGTAACGGGTGGTTATTTGAGTCACTGTTGCCTTTCTATCAGCTCGAACCAGTCTGCCCATTCTCCTCTGACCTCTGGCATTAACAAGGCATTTCTGCCCACAGGACTGCCGCTCACTGGATGTTTTTTCTTTTTCGGACCATTCTCTGTAAACCCTAGAGATGGTTGTGCGTGAAAATCCCAGTAGATCAGCAGTTTCTGAAATACTCAGACCAGCCCTTCTGGCACCAACAACCATGCCACGTTCAAAGGCACTCAAATCACCTTTCTTCCCCATACTGATGCTCGGTTTGAACTGCAGGAGATTGTCTTGACCATGTCTACATGCCTAAATGCACTGAGTTGCCGCCATGTGATTGGCTGATTAGAAATTAAGTGTTAACGAGCAGTTGGACAGGTGTACCTAATAAAGTGGCCGGTGAGRGTATAATTCAATTCTTTAACCAAAACTAAATAAAATGGTGAAGATGATGAAAATGTAAAGTATTGAATGTGGAATTTTTCTAATATTATAATTAGAATGCCAGTTTCTGTTTTTATTTAAGTATTCTTTCCATAAAAATCTAAAATAATTTGCTTATACCTTAATGAAAATGTAGTATCATTATTATAAAGTTTTTACATTTGTTCCCAAATATCCTTGTGATATGACAAATCTAAAATAAATGACTGATTGTTTCTGGGTGCTATTTGCAAAATTTACATTTTGAGTTTATTATTTAACATTTTTAATCATGTATTGATAAGTAGGATAAATTCTGTGTAGCAGTTTAAAGAAAACATCTCATAACTTGATTAAAACATCTTCAAAACCTTTAAAAATATTTCTCCAGCAGGGGGCGCTGGTGTGTTACACCAGAGCTGCAGACGGTGTGAACAGAAACTCATTTTCCTGTTTTAATTTTGTTTATTTCTGCTTGTTCCTCAGTGTGTCTCCTGCAACAAGTCCTTTAAGAAGTTGTGGTCGCTGCACGAGCACATTAAGATCGTTCACGGCTACGCAGAAAAGAAGTTCTCGTGTGAAATCTGCGAGAAGAAGTTCTACACCATGGCTCATGTTCGAAAACACATGGTTGGTAAGTCACCTGCAGGTCCACAGTCAGGATGTGGAGGAGTGTATTACACCGACATTGAAAGGTTAAAAATGTGTTCTTTCTGCTCTACCTGGCTCTAACTCCAGCTCACACTAAGGACATGCCGTTCACCTGTGAGACGTGTGGGAAGTCGTTTAAACGCAGCATGTCGTTAAAGGTGCACTCGCTGCAGCATTCTGGGGAGAAACCTTTCCGCTGTGAGGTAAGACGCACCTGTTGTTATGATTAGCAGGGTTCTGCAGAACTTGAAGAGGTATTTCTGTCGCAGAATCAGGTGTGTTGGAGCAGGGAAACATAAAACATGCAGTTAGGGCTGGGCGGTATGACCTCAGATTCATATCAAGTTATAAATGTAATCCCTTCATGGTAACGGTATATATCGCAGTAGAATATTATCATAAAAAGCATTGATAATGGGATTTTTAGAGCGTTTATTTTTGCAGAAAACTGTAAATCATAATCAAACCCAACATTTTTGCTGTAGTGCAAATGAACACTAGACATGGGTTTTTACGATGTAAAAACAAGTGTGCATTGCCACGTAGCATGTCATTGCAGCATGGCTTTGCCTGCAGCATTGGACTTGCAGAATGAACTTTGACCAAGTTCAAATGTGTTTTCTATACCAGCTTGTGCCTGTCACGTCAGCAGGCGTTTGTAATTAAGGTAATTGTGTGACAATATGAAGTTTGAAGAGATTTTTTGTTAAAGTTGCTTTAGCTGGGTTTTGAACCCTGATCTCCCACATTAAAGTCCATGACATAGACCATCAGAACAATGGAGCTGTGGCAGAAGGTGGTGCCAGGGGTTGGTTTGAGAGGCCACATTGCCAATGCAATCTTTGACACAATAAACTGCAATATATTGCAACAATTGGACAATATTAAGACAGTATTACAGTAAAACATCAAAATACAATCATATTAATATTGTAATCACTGAACTACTGAGTTTAAATATTATTAAACTATGGTGCAGTACCATATTGTGTAGATGCAGCAGGGGGCAGTATTGGACCAATACAAGGCTCCATTGACTGACATTATAATTTATTAAACATTAATATTTCAAAAACTAGTAAGTTTTACAGGCACCAAAAGGCATAGCCATCATTTGGCACAGGAGCTTTACAGATATAAATTACAATGGCAGCTCTAGGACAAAGTATGCAGGAGGAGAGGCATATCGTTCATATCGTTTCTACCGTCTATTGCACACACTGCGCAGCCCTACATGCAGGGTTTGACATGTCTGTTCTGACTAATAAATGTGRTTTTGCTCTGCAGAGGGTTTTTTTTTATAGACACCATAGTGTGTCACCTTTTGTTGATATAATATGATGTTTTGTTTTTTCCTCATCTATCCTTYTGTGGTATTTTTGTTTTTCTTTTTTAAAGGTAGTGCGACCCCTGCTGGTTGCTGCATGACCTGATCACCTGTTCCCCTATGTTTGTCATGTGTGTCTTCTTGAGTGGGGGTTCTTAAATGTAATGCTGTGCTCCGTACAATGACAATAAAGGCATCATCAAGCTTTAATGTTTGCAGACTATAAATGTAAACATGGGGTTGATTTAAATACATGTGAGCTAATAACTGTGTGTAAATAGATGAAAAGTCATGAAGACATTTATCCAACAGGTTATTAAAAGCTTGATTGCTCATGGAAAATGAGACTTAAGCAGATAATGACATGTTTGTACTTCATAAATGTTGGGAGTAATTTGATGGTGAAGTGAAAATAAAAAACTAGACAGTCGCCAAAACGTCACCTTTTGTTTCATCGTCCACATTGAGTTGAGTGAGTTTTAGCATTTTTGCTTTAATGTTTTAATCTTTGGCTGTTTATGCCTCATGTTTTTAGTACGATGTGGGGTTTTTCCATTCTGTTTGAAGCAGAAGTTAAAAAGAAGCGTTATCACTGTACAAATATTTAATGTAAATATTCAGTAAATATTTGTTCTTGTTTAAAAATTGCCAGAATGCTGACTGAGGAGTTGTGAGATTTGAGTCTAAGTGTGTAGTTCTGAAATGTGAATGGTGGTGATGAGTTTAATTTTTAAAGAAAGCTTTGTTGGACCGTTGTCTGCTTAATGTTGACCTTTAAAACACTTTGAGGACAGCAGAGAAGACTGACCTGACTTTATAAACCAGTTTTATTCATTTTAAAGCCTATGAAGGAATCATGACTCCTCCCACTTTTTATACCATTGTTCTTTACGGCAGTAAAAATTCTCCAAATGCTCCTGATTTGATGAGAATTGATCGTGTCCTGATAAAATCCACTGTGGTTTTTCAGTAACATCGTTGTGGCGTCAGGCTAACACGTTACAAATCACATTACTGGGTAGAGTTACAGGCGGTGAGGTCGGAATTAGATTTATTCTTTTGCTGCTTTTCAGAGAAATCCCAACAGATGGCGTCGTGAAATAAGAAAATGTGTTTTCTTGTGAGCACTTTTTAAAAACCTGGACCACACAGACTTCCACTTTACAATTAGGTCTTCCTGTTCCCGTGGGTTTTTGTTTTTCTGTTCATAAATAGATTAGTCTATAATGTTAACATTTTGGATTGATGCTGTGATAAACCTAAGCCTCTTGTTCTTTGTATTTAAGCTGAATTAGTGTCGAAGGATTGTTTGCTTTGTGGAGTTCCGGTCTTCATGAATTTTCTAAATGCTAATTGAAGGTAGCTTTTAAAATATTCTGTTTAAGATGTTTTGCTTGACGTACAGAGATGAAGTCCAATCATATCGGTTATCAGAAACTGAGAGAGTGAGCTACATTTAGACACAACTCACACTTTGAGTCAATATTCTCCTGTTTATTCCTGCTCCACAGTGTTTGATGCAGTTAATTATTGTGGCAATCTGATTTTTCTGTATAAGACTTCACAGACAGTGTTTGTTGTTCCCTCCACAGGCCCACACACACAACCTTTCTAAGAGTGGAGCTGCTTTGATTAAATGTCTGAAGTTATTTCACACTAGTGTATTATTACACACTTATTAAGTTGAGGTAATGTAGCGACCGTTCTCATTAGTGGAGAGTTTTGAATGTCCATATGGACAAGGCTGGTCTCCACTTATACATTTAGTCAGGTGGTGCCACTAAGATTATAAATACCTCACCTCTGGAAAAAACCTCAGTGCAAACATGTAGTGTTGGAACACAGTGGGAGGATTTTCTTTCTACTAATTATTTCCTTAATGAAAACTTTAATATATTTTAATGCTTTAGACAAGGATAACATGTTTCATTTTTCTAAGTTTTTAACAGCTCTGTCTTTAAAATAGATAAATAAAATCGTTAATCGTCTGCATATAGATTATTTTTTTCTTTCTCCTTTTTGTACAAGAAACTAAATACAAGTTAATTAACTGTTTAGTCCAAGTTTATTTCACATATGTACAAAAACAAAAGTATTTTAACAAGTAAAAAAATTTAAACATATTCGAAAAGGGATGGAAAGAAGTAAACTTTATTTCCACCTTTCTCCAAAACTTACTAAAAAGAATAAATTTTTCTGCTTCCTTATTCTAAATCACAGTAATTATTTCAAAAAGACCAAAACAATCATCAGTTTACCCTCTGTTATAAATTATACAAGAATTACAAAAAATAGCATATTATGTTTTGTAGACACATTTTTTTTGTTAAATTATGTATTACTACCATTATATCTTCACATAGATGTACAAATCTACAGAGAATTTAGTAATAATACACATACATGCTGTATTAACATTGTGTGTACATACATAAATACGCCCATATATCTCCACATATGTAGCAAAAAATAATCAAACACTCTGCATGCCTGTGTATTTTAAAAATTATAGTTTTCTCCTTAAACTTCTTTGTTTTTTGACAGTTTGTTAAACTAAAGCCTGAATCTTATAGAAACTCTTCAGTTTCAAAGTGGTTTTTTTTTTTACATGTTAAGTCTTGAAGGAAACGGCACGAGACYGATGTTCAGTGTGTTTTTGTTTTGTGTGTTTTGGGCTCCGAGCTCTAACAAGCTTTCTTTGTCCTCCGCCTCAGAACTGCGACGAGCGGTTCCAGTACAAGTACCAGCTGCGRTCCCACATGAGCATCCACATCGGACACAAGCAGTTCATGTGCCAGTGGTGCGGCAAGGACTTCAACATGAAGCAGTATTTTGACGAGCACATGAAAACGCACACGGGTGAGAACACAGACCTGTTCCACAAGTTATTTAGACCACAGAATCTGATTTTTTTAAAAATCTGTTCGGGTTTTTTAAGGAAAAAATAAAGATTTTGAATTTTGCCATCAATTATGGTTAACGCCTGCAAAGACACCATTAAAACACTGCAGAGACCTTACATCTACCATCTTCTTAAAGCTCCGTCGCCACTCGGACACCYTGCACTCTCTATAAAAAGACTTGGGTGTTGCTCTTTCGCCCTGTTTCTGCAATGAGAGGGCTGTTTTACATCAAAGAGGAGCCTTGCATATCTTGTGGCTTATAACGACTACCCATCCACATGAACCCTTTTTGGGTTTTCCTCCATGTTGCACCGACGTTCAAACTGAGCAGCGGTGCCTCCTCCGCTGTGGGTGGAAACGCCACGCTTCGGCTGGCCCTCACGGGTTATATTTGAGATGTGTAATTATGCTACAATCGTATCCCTGCAGCTACCAACCAATTTAGCCTCGTCCACCGGACACACCCAGGCCTGCTCTGTAATAAGCCGCTCAAACCAAAGTTTGGCTCGTCAAGCGTTGGGTGAGTTCTGGAACACAACAGTGAGAGAAGACTGGTGCGTCAGCTGTCACCTTTGAATATTCAATTGGCGGAGGAGCTTCACACATAACATGCCAGAATAAGGCATTTAGAGGGCCCTTCAGCAGACTGTTAATAGATGGCTGCGTGGGTGGTAACAGGCACATTCAGTGGCTCCATGGAGGGAGGTTAATGAGAGCGGCATTCTAGTGGTGCTGCTGTTGTTCACTTTCACATCTTCAATTCTCAAAGTGTGAATTGTAATAGCTTTCCGGTGAGTGGGTGGGTTGACAGAAAAGACCATCACTTCAAGATGGCAACCTATTTGCATTTTCAAAACTGAAATGAAAGGGGTGGGTTTCTGTGAAAAGCTTTAATCGCTTGGAAGTTTCTCAYCAGAACATTTGACAAATGATTTGTTTCTGATTCGTCATTTTTAGCTCTGATTATTTTATTCTCTGTTAATTGATGGATTTGATGTTTGCTATTGTTTGTGCAGGAGAGAAGCCTTTCATTTGTGAGATCTGCGGGAAGAGCTTCACCAGTCGGCCCAACATGAAGCGCCACCGCCGCACCCACACAGGCGAGAAGCCCTACCCGTGTGAGGTGTGCGGTCAGCGTTTCCGCTTCTCCAACATGCTGAAGGCCCACAAGGAGAAGTGTTTCCGGGTCACCAGCCCCGTCGTCCTGCAGACCAGCGGACCCCCCATGCCCGTTCGCCTTTTTACCAACGCCTTCTCCTCCACTTCCTCCGCCGCCGGCCCCTCGGCCGCCGCTCCGGCCACCACGTCGACGTCGCTAGGCCTCAGCCCGACCGTCGGTTCGATTCCCCCCCAGGCTCCAGTGGGGCACACGTTCTCCCACGTGCAGCTCCACTCCTCCCACCATCATTCCCAGCAGCACCTCTCCAGCCCACCCCAGCAGGCGCCGCCCCACCACCACCTGGTCGTGCCCCCCGTCTCCCACCTCCCCCCTCCCCCYGCTCTGTTCAAGAGCGAGCCGCTGAACCACTGTGGCCACGAAGACAGCAGCTACCTGCACCACATGAGCCCTCACGACAAAGGCCCCGGAGCCCCGCAGCACCACTGAACTGTCCGTCTTCTCACAGTTCACCTGCCGGGACCGGAGCAGCGCCCGGGTTGGAAGCGTTCAGAGTAAAACTCAAAATAGGAACTTCTGTTCTGTGGAACAAACTTCAAACCACAGACTTTCTTCGTAGTCTTGCCTTGCAGATTTAAATCAAGCTAAACACATCTGTATGTGTAAAAGATTCAGACTGTTGCTCCCTCAGAMCCAACAAGTGAGACTCCACTTTAAAAAAAAACATAAAAACTGATCAAATAACAAAGATTTTATAACCTCAGAGTTGTCTGGAACATTTTCTTCTGTAGAAAATGATTTTGTGCGTCTCGCTCTCCGTAGATGGGTGTAAAATTCTCATTTTTTTATCTAAAAGCTGCTGATGGGAGTCGGCTTGTGTCAGGATTCGAGCTTTTCTCTGCAGCTCCTCCCCCTTAGCAATACTCCACCTGTCCTCTGAGTCGTACTGCAGAAACCTCGGGAGCTCACAGAAATGTTTGATGAATGTTGTAACTGGTTCCTTTTTTTTCCCCGTTCAAAGTTTAAGATTAAAGCTTTCTGTCAGCGGGCCAGTGGCGGTGGTGCAACACGCAGTGCCATAGCTTACAAAGAAACACAGGAGAGGTTTTTCTTTTTTTTTTAATAAAACGATAAAGATTTTGTAAATGTTGAATCTAGACCAAGTCTGATTCAAATTATAGTTAAAATGGTGCTTTCCATTCCATTCCYTGAAACAGGTGTAAAAACAAAATAATGCATCAAGTCTTGCAAAAAAAAAAGGTATTTTCAACAAAAAGACATGGATAATTAGTGATTGAGATTACTTTAATTCGTCCAGATCAGCCCTCACACACACACAACTTATTGTAAGCACATAAACAAAGACCTGGTTCACCGATTGACTGATCACCTCAAGCTTTCAGGGCTGTTGAGCAGCAGACTGTCAGAAACTGCCACTGTGAGGGGCCAGACGTGGCCTCGCCTGATCTTTGCCCCACCTCTCTTCGCTGCTGTTTAAATGATACGGGTTACCATGTTAAAGGTCATCTGACACACACACACACAGTACACACAGTGTACACAACTGGGACCTTTTTCTCTTTTAGAGCTCTTAATGGTAAATTATGCATTATTCCTCTCAGCCTATATTCCACAGTTTGGTGTGGGGTGGTGTTTGAACGAGTGACTTCCTGTACCGGCGTTGATCGACACAGGCGTGTCCGCCACCTGTTGAATGTTGCCTAAGCCGACTCGTGTTTTACCTTCTCATCCTTTACTGGTTTTTTAGCGAATGAATGGTTCTGTCATCTAACTGTCATAGGATGGGAAGCAGCAGCCAAACAGGCGTTCAGTACGTGAGATGAAATGACTTAATGTGAAGGGAGTTCTGTTCGAAGGGGCAGAACTGGCCGGTGAGAGTTTGAGTTGCCTCAGATTAAGGCCCTGTTCAGACCTCAGACTCACAGCTTTGATTCAGAGCGTTCACACCTGTCAGGTTAAAAAACAACAAAAAAACAAATCGTTTTTGCCCCGAAATGTTTTTGTAATTTATCCACTCTTAAATGAAAATTACGTCTCATTCAGACATCTAAATAGGGCTGCAGGAATTTAGAATAACTTGTAATGTTCATTATTATTATTATTATTATCATTATTATTATTATTATTGATCAATTTTGTCTTCCATACATTTTTCAGCATGTATTTCATTCCATATTGTTTAAGCTTTCTCAGTAATATATCACAACATTCAGCTCCTTCAGGACATTCAAACTGTGATTTTTCGTATTTCATCACTTTATACTTTTTAAGATATTTAGCTTTTTTTGGCGATCTTTGTTCTCATTGAAAATGAATGGAGCCGTCTTCAACATCCTTAAAATCCTCCAAACTAATTAAATCTTTTCTGCATTTTGCACCTTTTTAGTTTTTGTTCTGCCTTTCTAAATACTTTGTGCTCGTTTTAGTTGCCTTCAGCTTCTTTTTTTGCTAATTTTAGCTCTTTTTTACTGCCTTTTTAGCTTTCCGCTCWTTTCAGTTATTCTGCTGCTTAAATGTTTCTGCTACTGTTAGCTTCTTTCTGCTAATTTAAGCTTTTTGTGCTTCTTTCAATGGTTTCCTTCAATTTAAGCTACCTAATTATTTTCAGCTAAATTAATCATTTTGTGATCATTTTAGTTACTTTTCAGCGAACATGCTCTTTCTGCTTTGTGCTAGATTCATCTTTTTCAGCTACTTCCACAATTTTCTGTATTTGGGGCTGTTTTACAAGAAATTGAAAAWGATTTTGTATAATTTCTGCTGCAAATATCTTTCAGCATTAAGCTTTCAAACTGGGTTTTTATTTTCAGTTGTAATAAACTTAAGTTTTCTTCTGTCTTCACAATCATCTAAACTGAAACCAGTGAGAGTCCACTGGKTTGACCAAATATATTCTTTGAAATATACTGGTGTAGGATTTGATTTATTATAATCTTATGTTTTATATCTAACAGACATGAAATGGAAGAAATAAAGGCACATAAAATAAATTATTTAATAAATCGAAGCAAAAACTGAAGGTTTAACTCCTAAAAGTCCACCGCAGTGAAACTGTGCTTTCTTTAACATCAAATAATCTGTTTAATCCTGTAAATATAAAGTCCAGTGAGTGACTCCTCATATTTTATAAACAGGCTCGAAACATGTTAGAGACTCATAACATATGCAGATGAAAGGGGTCCGGACCACCAGAGTTGCTGTGTTTTTAATGAGTTTTGAGGCGTTTGTTCCWGTTCTAGTAGAGTTGGATGTTGGTTCCAGGTCTGAACGGGGCCTAACGATGGGGGGAAGCTGCCCGAGTGTTTGACTCGACGTCCCCCCCGAGTGCTCTTCTACCAAAAGCTGCTCTTAGTGTTGGAGACTACCTGACATGTTCCATAGCAGTAAATTAACCCGTTTGTTTCATTCAGATGAGATTAAGTGATTAAGCTCTGTAGTTTAGCTCCTTTTTTGTTTTAATTTATTTTTAATTTTTTTAGGATTTCAGACCTGCAGTTCTCCTGCCATTTCTCCGGGTCTTAACACTGCTGCAATATCCGTTCTCATCCAGTCCCGTTAGGTTCGACGTTGTGCATTATGGGTCTTTTTGTCTCGTATTTTTAAGCCTTTTCGTTTGTGTGTATTCTCTGCACTTTACTGCTGCGTGGGTGAGGCGCAGGGACATGGGTAAGGGGGGGTGGGGGGTGTCGACGATGCATTGTGGAACTGAATGCAGTTGTGGCTGTATGTGAAAAGGTGGAGGTGATTTATGAGTGGATGTTTTAAAGCAAGGAAAGGAGGAGAATCCTTGTTGGAGGTGGAGAGTGTGAAAAGGACCATAGATAATAAAGAACTTTTTTTTAATATGCTTAAATCTGCCCCCCCAAATTGAAATACTCTCCCTCCTTCACACAAACCTCTCCACACGACGTCTGAAGTTCTTATTTTATTTTATTTTTCTCGTTCATGTCCCGTTTCTGTCTGCAGAGTGGTCCTCCTCCTCCTTTCTTTGTTCTATAGAATGCACTTTCTACTAAAATCCTTGAGTAGTTAAGTAAAAAAAAATAACATTGTATATTCTTTAAAGATGTTTTAAAAAATCAATATACTTTCCTCTTTGTATTTTTAACCACTTGATGTAGCATCGCGTATTTTATTATTGTATCTGGTACAAAATGTGCAGCTTTATAACGTCCTGGTTTGTCTTTTCTTTTTTTTATGTTATCTGGAGACAAAGAAGAGGACAAAGTTGGGCCTTTTTTTTGATAATGTACATTTAACTGACTGCTAACTTTTGAGAAGTAAAAACAAGTAGCCAAGATGTTGTTTTTTTGACTTCTTCTCTTTTATTCTGGAATCCTTGTTCATTTTCTGAAGACAGAATGTAGAATAATAATTGTGCTCAGCGTGCTCCTGATTATGGGTTTCACTTTTAGGTGCCCCGAGCTTTGCTCAAACCTGTGGATTATAACTGATTGTTGCAACTCACTCTTCTCACTGAGCTGTTTTTCTGCTATTTTCGGTTCTCTGTGGAACACGTTACCTAACCGTGTCTGCTGGCTAAACATGACCCTGAAGGTTCTGCTGGTGCTTTTTACATACTCTCTATTCTTTTGTTTTGACACTTTTATTTTACTTGGAAGCAAGAAAATTATTTTACCGCTGCTAAAAGGACAGTTGTTGAAATATCTCGTGAACCACMGGATGGAATTTAATGAAACCTCTAAGAAATAATCACTTGATAAACCTCAGCTGTTTTTATGGAACTAACTCATGGGWCTTCATCCTGAGTTTTCACCAAAACTATCACTACACTGTTTTTTTT